GGTCGCCTGTCGAATCGCAGAGTCCAGACCTCGAATCTGTAACTGAAGACGAGGTGGTGTGATGTGGTAAACGAAGGGTTGAGAATAGCGAAACGGGTGTGTAGAGGGGAGATTGCGAGAATCAATAAACCATGTAAATGAAGAATCTCTCGATGTAGAATAGTCTGGGCCCTCATCGTGATGCCGTCCACAGGAGTGAGACCAGTCGGAGAAGGGAACATGGCGAGAGGAGGAGGATAAACTGAAAACTAAGGCTCCAACAGGTTCCAATGAACCTAAAAGTTGCTTTGACCGCTGTGGTCGCCTTGTGCCCTGCCGAAACGGCTGGCTGCTTTGACCGCTGCGGTCACGTAAAGGCATGAGCCAACTTGGAATTCCAAAGATGGGCCAAAAATCATCGTACGTACGGCCTAGGCCACCTACGCTCGCTGCGAGCTGCTCTGTATCCGGGCAGGGGATACGTTGGACATACACCCGTTCGACGGGTCCACGGGAGGCACTCTGCGGGCTCATCCCGGGTTGGCACGAAGCCAAACACACTTGAGATATTGTGTACTGAACTGAATGCGGTGCCACACGCCAGCCTAAGAAACCCAAATCCTGAAAAGTCCAGGAAAGTCCTAAAGAGCCTGGGGGTCTTCAAAAGGAAGCGAGGCCAAAAACTCAAGGCGGGGCCGATCCGACAGGATGACGACGGGCGCTCACAACTGCATGTCAGGAGGTTCTTGGCTTAGCCTCGTGCCATTCAGAAAGAAGGAAAATCGCAGGTACGTCGGAGTGGCCAACTCCGATATCACCAGATCAAATGGGCGTCTTCGTTGGTAGCGGTCCCAAATGATCTGCCGCTACCCCCTGCGATAAAACAAATTAAAATCCAAAAGGATCCCTATGACTCCAAGGGTTACACACACACAGAGAGACCCTCACACTGCCTCAACTCACTCGACTTAACACTTCTTCACACTGAACACTTAACACATAACTCACACTCTGACTTCATACGTGATGAAAACTGCTTTCGGGCCACTCGTCGTCTACAAGGTGAGACCCGGAAGTTAGTGAAGTTAAAGTGAACTACAAGTTCACTATAGTGTACTATAGAGCACTATAGGTTGCGTAAGTTGCGGATAAGTAAGTTATGGATTTTTTTAAAGTAATGGTGAAGTTATAACTTACTAATAACTTACGTGTTTTTCAGAGTATTGATTTTCAATTTTTTCGTGAAGTTATCCGGAAGTTACTGGAAGTTATTTTTTTCCAGAGAAAGTGCAATTTTGAAGACGAAAATTAGCAAAACGTATAACATACAAAATTACAAAAAGTCACCACCCGCACGCACGCGCAGAAGTGTTGGTTCACAGCAATTCGAGACGCGTCGCGCATGGCTTGGGAGGAGCGGCAGGACCGCTGGGCGGACGAGGCCAGCTGGCAGCGGCAGGGCCGCTGGGCGGAGGAGGCCGAGCACGAGCCGGCTTGGCAGCGGCAGGGCCGCTGGTGGGACACAGCACAGGAAGCAGGTTGGCAGCGGCAGGGCCGCTGGGGCGTCTGGCAGGACACGCCTGGAACGACGCCGGCAACTGGGGTGGCTGGCGGGGTTGGGAGGGCGCTTGGCGGCCGGACCGCTGGGAGGAGGCTTGGCGCGAGGAAGACGCTTGGCGGCAGGACCGCCGGCCTCCGCGCTACGGCGCGGCGAACCCTGCGCCAAGTTCAAGGTGGGCTGTGCGCAGCCACGAAGGATACGGTCCGGCTGCCCATCCTGGCTCGCCATGGCGCCAACTCCCGTTCTGCAGGCTAATCCACCAAAATGCCTGCAGCGATCGCGCGGTCGCACCGCGAATAGCGGAGAATGCCCTGGAGGAAAACGCCCAAGCAAACTCTGACCGGGGAGCTTGTATCTATATCCTATAAAAATTCGAGGACCCGGGGCGTCTCAGTGTGGATCTCAATCCGCTTCGAACCGTGGAGCAGAAACTCGAATCAAACCGAGACATTCCGAGACGGTTTTTTGCTTTTTTTTTGCTCTATTTGCTTATTTATTTAAAAGCAAGACGAAAAAACGGTGGGAAACCCGAGACATTCCGAGACATTCCGAGACGTTCCGAGGTCCTGGATTTTAGGCGTTTTGACTCGGGTTTCCGCTCGAAATTCGAAACAGATCGAGACATTCCGAGACATTCCGGGGCCCTGGATTTTAGGCGTTTTGATTCGAGTTTCCGCTCGGCAGTTCGATGCGGGTTGAGGTCCACTCTGAGAGGAGCCCCACGCGCGAAAAACAATCCGCGAGCGCGCGGTCGATATATATATATATA